AAACCGCGCCCTTGAACCGAGAGTCCTCGTGAGGCAAGACGATGAGCAATCAATCGAGTGGAACCAAGCAATTCGTCTAAGAAAGTCATCATCTGCGTGGAAGAACTGGTCAGCGGATAACCAAGGTAGATGGCCGCCACATGGCTGTTAGAATCATGCCAATGCGGTATACCCCGCTGCTGGAGACAGCTGCGCCAGAGAGGTTGGGCTTGTCCAGATAAGGAAACGGCAATAGTCTTGTCCAGGTTGAGCTTAGCATTTGAAGCTAACTCGTATGCGTTAATGAGAGCCAACAAAGAGGTCAATTCTATCGGATCTTTTAGAAACACCAAAACATCATCAGCGTATGCAAGCAGTTTAAGAACCGGTGGCCGACCAATAGGCCGTGGCATTTGACTGAGAGCTGGGTCATGGAACAAGAAGCCTGGTAATAGAGGACATGAGTGAATCGCACGGAGAAGGGGTTCCAAAGCCAAGTTAAAGAGAAAAGGCGATAGAGGGTCGCCCTGTCTCAGACCCCGTTCTTGTGTAAAAGCAGTGGAGAGGAAACCGTTCACCTTAACACATAAGGATGTACTAAAGAATAAGGAGGTGATACCCGGAAAGTAAATTCGCCTGTGATCGAAAATAAATGCACCCAATGGTGAGAACAAAATTCATGTTGTACGAAATATAAATTCGTCGTTACCAAGAATATTTTCGTAGTATCAACCTTGACATCCATGGATATACTGTATTTCCAAATTGAAATGTCGTATTGAAACCATTGTAATGTTATCAGAGTAATAACAAATAATACAGATTGAACACTCGTACCTTTGTTGACGATAGGCAGAGGTGCCTTGTCTCTAGTAACAACACTTGAAGAACCAGGAGCAGATGTGTTTTCTTTAACAGCTTTCAAAGTAGTATGAACGTTCTCCTCTATTACAGAATTCAGTTATAAAACAGATGGAATTAATAGATATTATCTTTACCTTTTCTAAGCAATGGAATTTGTTGAAAGTCATCATCACTTGCTCCAAAAGCTGTATTTTTGAATAAACTAGTTTGTGTTTGTGCACACAAAGATGAGAAATCGCGATTGACGATGTCGTTAAGGATCGTGCCTAAAGCGGATTATTCTTCCAGCAAGCTAAGTACCATTCTCTTTCAGGGTATTTTATTGTTCTCTTCCCAAGTCCTGCTGATAACGTCTTGTTAATTAAATCTGATGAAGTTGAAGAGTAGTCAATCCTTTTTCTTTATGTGTGAATTAATTGATATCTATAATAAACTACATAAAGTCATTTCTAACCATACTAAGTCGTAAAACAATAAGATACCCTAAAAGAGAATGGCATTTAGCTTGTTGGAAGAATCCTATTCATTTTGGAAGAATAATCCGTTTTAGGTGCGACCCTTAACGACATCGTTCCACATACCTACTATTAAGATGAACCTCATCACCCAAGATGTGATCCCTAAGCGTTCGGACCGGAATTCACGTTTTGGGGTGTGGTCCCTAAGAAAAATGAAAAAGTCAGGTCAGGGTCGTATCCTTGGGGAAGAGCATAAAGCATTTTTTTTAAAATTACATTGATGAGAATCCTTCTGCCATGGTCAGTGAGGTGGCAGAAGGTCTGAAACAAAGCTTTGAACTCAACGTTTCTCATAGTACTTACAACTTCATGACAACTCAGTGCAATTTGTCCATTAAGCGGGCACAATTCCACCCTATGGGGAGAAACAGTGAGGAAAAAATCCAGCAAAGGTAAATTTGAATTTTTGTGCGCCTAACGACATACTCCGGCTCCTCTCTGCATGCTTATTTATTGATGCAATAGTACTACATACATGGTTTCATAAAATCATAGTTTATTCATAATAGCGAGCATATATTTTAAATATTAGTTAATCATAATGATTTATATGTTGAATAAGAATGGCAAAGTTATAAAAGAATTCATAGTTGAGGGCATAAACTTATTTGACAGCCATATGATGCGTTGCATAAGTAGGCATATTAATGAATTAATAACTTTGGGTAGACAATATTGTTGGTTGTGTTTGGACTTTCTGGCAAAAGGACTGAGATGCCAGAAAGAGGAGTGACTCTTGGTAGAGCGATATAGAGCTGTCCATGCATAAGTGGTACTGCCTTAGGTCAACGCCCACATATTTCAATGATTGGCCTTGGGATTTGTTGATGGTCATAGAAAAGCATAGACTAATAGGAAATTGCTTTCTTGTTAGAATGAATGGTAAATCACCTTCTTGGGTTGAGAGTGTAAACCGAGGTATAAGCTCTAATGGGCCATCTGGCTTATTGGCTAGGCGAGCCTGAAACATATAGCTGCCAATTCGTACGACAACCAGGCGAATACCATTGCATAGACCTCTTGCTGGGTCAGTGTTTCTTAATAGCATTACTGGTGCGCCAACTTTGAGCTCAAGCTTAGATGGAGGCAAGCCGGTAGGGTTTGAACTGTGTAAATATTCTATAGGAACAGTGTGTAAACCATCGGCTTCATTAACATCAGCAGAGTCTGTAGACAGAAGTGTAACCTTTTCGCCAGCCATCTCGTCGAGAACAATGTCGTTGATTCTTCCAACTGTGTCGTTTCTGGTAGTTAATATGGCCCTTTCACCAAAAAATTGACCATTGTTTATCGACATAGAGTTACTAATTTCTTCATCTTTATAGATATAGTCAGGAAGTGTAATTGAGTCATAAAGTGTATGGTTATATGAAATGTCTGCTATAAATCTTGCAAATGCAATATCATTTTGATTAAAAAGATTAGTTAAACGCATGCTCTGCGTAAGTCTCAAGAGCTGGAGTCTTGACAATAAAAATGACTGCTTGATTGACGCACTAACAGTATCAGCTCTGTTACCTCTTCTGATCACTGGTGGGATCTGAACAAAATCACCACTAAGGACAACAGGCTTTCCTCCAAGCAAATATAGCTCATCCGGATCATCACAGATGCCTTGAAAGGTGCGATGGACAGCTTCAAAGCAACACTTGTGCTGCATGGGCACTTCATCCCAAATGATCAACTTTGCTCTCTGGATGAGCTCAGCAAGATCGCTATCCTTTCGGATGTTACAAGTGGAGCATTCATCTATAGATAAAGAGATTTTGAATAGTGAATAGGATGCCTGACCGTTAAGCAAGAGAAGTGCGGCAATGCCAGAGGAGGCAATGCAAAGGACGATCTCGTTTTTACTCTTGTAGTAATTACAAAGAGTGTTGTACACAAACGTCTTGCCTGTGCTGGCGGACTCTTGCAAAAAGAATTGGTTGCTGCTAGGATTAGACTCAACCTTGCTGACAATGGTGTCAAATGCATTCTTCTGCTGTTGATTAAGCTGACTATGTATTCTATTAAAGTCGGTCAAGGCCTGACTGGGATCAAAATTCAAGGCTCTTCTAAGGGGAGGATTTCTCTCTTTTTGCCTACCACCACGGCTCTCGAGTAAGAATTGCCAATCACAGAGAAATCCAGGCAGATTGGACATATGGAGGCTTTTACTGTGTCACCGCAATTTATCATCGATCAGATACAAACTAGATACCGGTTTTTACCCTAAAACTAGACGGTGTTATTTTTTTCTGGACGAATCAAAAGTAATTTTTAGACACTCTGATTACCTTTTTTGGACAAGATGAGGTACAAGAGTGTCTCTTTTTGACTAAACTGGAGCTATTTCTTAAGCCTAGATTCAAGCAACAGGCCCCTTTTACCTGTTTCCTCATAAGCAATAGTGTCTTCAGCCTTAAGACTGGTGAAATCTCTAAATGTTAATACTTGTATATAATAAAGTTATTCCTACCTTTTCAAATTGGTTTAGCACATTTAGATGATATATTTGAATAAATTAAATGGCCATTCCTATCACAGTGTTGATATATTTGCTGACAACACTTCTCTTTATATTTCTTTTTATCTACCCTACAATCTATGTCTGTTTTTTCTTTTTACTTTCAAACAGTTGCATCCATAAACAAGCTATAGTCCATAAAAATTGATCTACTCTATTCAAGCGTTTACTTTGATATATAATCTGACTATGTCTGTAGAAGCAGAACAGGTAAATCGGTTGTGAAAATACTCATATGATACTTATCTAAAATGTAGTCCAACAATACAACATTTTCCCAGTCAGAATATCGGCGTATAACTACAATCAAAACATCGTTAAATGGTATAGGCTGGAAGGAGAACTACAGGGCCACCCTAAATGAATTTGTCTGCAGCGTAAATGATCTTGTAACTCACGGGTTTGCTTTTGCAAAGTTCATATTTCTCAAAGAATTTAACAAAGATGGTGAATTTGACTTCAATAAATATGTAACAAAGGCATTTTTTCAAGAAGTATTACTGGCACTAGTTGATCGTAAAACCAAGGAAGGAAGACTCGCTGAAAAGACACGAGATATCAGACAATTAATAAACACTTATAAAGACGAATACATCCAGGTGTCAAGTTATATACCAATCACACTGACCAATGCTCAACAAATTGCATTTTATGAAGGGACCAAAATACATACAGCATACATTAATAATGTCGCTCAACATTTTGGTAATAGACTCAGAATGTTTTTAAATCTAATATCAAACAAAAAAGAGAAAATTGAAAATATGACTCAAGAAATGAAAAGCAAAGGTTTTACGGATGAGGAAATCAAAAGTTCAGTAAGGACCCATATTACCAATGTGTGTACCCAGCTCAAGTTGAATGTTTCAGCAAAGAAATTCCCTGATATTCCAGCCAATTTTCTAGATAAAAAGGCGTTAGAACAACTACAACAATTTTTAGATGTTTATCCAGAGCACTACAAATTCAAAAAAGACTCTATCTATTATGATGTGAAATCAAGTCCACAAAATCATTTACGTGCATTTTACACTTTGGCAAAACTTTGTGAAGAAAGAAAGAACAAAAGTTTTACTTGTTTTCCCTTACGAACATCTTTTGTCCCTTGTTATGTCACAATTGACGCCAAGATTTTGAATTACCACATTCTTAAGCGCAAGAGCTTTCCTGTTGGCCAAAAGCATGAACTGTGGAAACAAGTCATCAATTATGATTGTAAGGCAATCAAGTATTCCACGACAATGAATTTTGAAGGAACTTTAGATACCGATGGAGTTGGTGTGTCCTTACTCAAACAAAACTTTAGCCCTGATCGTAGAGGCACGTTGAATGTTGAAGGAAAGCCCTTAAAAGCTGATAATGACGAATTCCGCTATCTAGAAAGCCTGTCGAAGAAGGAATTAGACAATACTTTAAAGAAATGTGTTCTGATTGATCCAGGAAGGCATGACCTCTTATTCTGTATGCATGAAGATAGTTCAATAGAAGAAAAGAAGCTGTTTCGCTTCACGAGAAATCAGAAGTTAGTAGAAACAAAAGCAAGACGTTTCAATAAGCTTCGAAAATTTATGAAACCGGCTTATATTCAAGAATTAGAAGCAAGTCTATCCAAAATACCAGCAGCAACTGTGGATCTTGTCAAATATACCAAATATATCAAGCGTCGATCTAAAGTTTCACAACCTTTAAAACGGTATTACTCTAGTGAAGGTGAATTCTTGGATAGAAACATCGGCTATGTTTACGAAGATAGTGACGAAGACGATCCAGCTATTGGCATAGATGATACTGCCGCCGCTACTGATAACATTTGCCCTAAACCAGCTTTTGAATGTAAGAAATCAAAAAATAAACTTGGAACCTATCTCTCCAATCTTCGTTACATTCACCAAGAAAACAACACCCAAATTCAGCTTGCAGAGGACGATATTACGCAGCTTAACACCGTAATACAACAAACCGATGAGATTTTACAAAAACCAGAAACTACAGAAGAAGGCTTCGAATCCCAAATCAGCATAGTCAAAAATTTACTTGAAGAAACCAAAGCCAAGCTGCCTACCCTCAAATTTCGAAAAATGAAGCTCCAAAGTACCATAAATCGGCAACAATCTGAAAAAAGGTTAGTTAATGCTTTAAAAGCTAAATTTGGAGAAGATGCTGTTCTTGTCTTGGGTAACTGGTCTGCCTCTCACGTGAAATTCCATGAACCAACCAAAGGAAAAGGAATGCGCAAGATGCTCCGAAACGAAGGATTTGAAGTCTTACTCATAGATGAATTCAATACTTCAAGCATCTGCCCTGAATGTAACTCGGATTTAAAAAAATTCAAAACTATAGAAAATCCTCGGCCATATAGAAGAAGTAAGATGCTGGAGGTTATATGTCATGGTTTGTTGAAGTATGAATATTGTATACAGATATTAGTAGTAGGCATATTTCATCTCACTCTCATATGTTTGTAGGTGTGTTAACAAAGATTGCTTAAAGATAGAAGGGAAAGACCGAGTATGGAATCGTGACCTTGCTGCTGTCCTCAACTTTCGCAAAATTCTCTTTTCGCTTCGAGAAACAGGTGATCGTCCAGAAGCTTTCAACAAAAGTAGAAAGGATGGAAATCGAAAAAGAAAACCTCCCACCAAAGAAAATAAAAGAACCAAAAGAACCAAACACAATTCCGCCTCAGTTATCGATGAGGCATCCACAGTGCAGGGTAAGTTTTATATTATTTTGCACTTTTCTGATGAAAAACTAAATTTTTATTGTCTAATTTCCATATTTGTTTCGTCTAAAAAAGGTAAGCTAAGCATCTGAAAATTATTTTCATTCGTCCAGAAAAAAAAATAACACCATCTAATTTTAGGGTAAAATCCTGTAGAGGCCATAATCAGTAGCTGGGCTCTCATTCTATTTTAGTGATCTATTTTATCTAATAACCAATAACTGATAATACAAAAAAGCCCCTTCTTCATTTATTTACATGATCCAACACTTGAATATCAAAAGGCTATGATAGGATTTACAGTTTTTTAAGCTAAAATGAGGCAATTCAAAACAACGGATTTCTATGCCTAGGGACAACAAGAGATTCATTTACTAGGACATTTTTTTTTGATGAGAGCGTAACAATTGATGACCAAAGTATTTTTACCCTTGATCCCAAAGGGGTTTTTTAGTCACCACTATCCTTCCTTTATGAACTACCTTGGGCGGGAAAGATGTAATATTACAATCGTGCGCCCAATTGAAGTTTTAATTATTTATAAATAAATATCTGTTTAAACGTAACAATTGATGAATTCTGCCTAAATAGATTTTTAAAAAATTTATGTGGCGCAACTTCAATTTTAAATTCAGTACCTGGAAGACAAGCTTATTCTTTTTTTTTTATCAAAACGGGCCATGTCAAAAAGCATCAAAGCACTTAGCTTGAAAGGCAAGCAAGACTGGGATACATCAGTATTCTGCTTCTCACGTAATGTCCGCAACAACATGATTTGGGAAAAGGATGCTGCTGCCAAAGCTACATTAAAGCATTTCTTTCAAAAGCACCTCACCTCAACCCCTGCTTTCAAGCATTCCCCTTCTCGAGTGACAATTCAGTTATTCTATTATGTTGATCCAGCATTCGGTAATGCATCTAGCTTTAAATTGGACGCCCTTGAAAAGTTGATTGGATCATTCTACCCAAATAAGTTTGTTGATCTGAGATTAACTCAACTTCATTATCCTTACATGAATGCAGAGATTCTCGCACAATTCTTAACTGTCAATGCCGAAAGAAATGGATGGTCTATGGTAAATCGTCGATTCTTTAAAGCTGCACCCATCGTAAAGGCACCGCTCCCTCACAACATGCCTTTTGCCACTCAATGGAACAGTTTATTACCTCAATTATCCAATGGACAACTTACATCAGCTATTCAAGGTATTAAATATCAAGTATCAGGTCGATTGGGACGTAGAAAGGGTGCTTCTAGAACTCAAGTGATGCGTAAATCACTTGGCACATTTCAATTTACAAGTCATAAATCTTTGGTAGACGTCGGTCGACATACTTTTGCAAACAAGAATGGTAGCATCACAGTTAAAGTATGGATTGCGACTGCCTTGTTTGGTGTAAATACTGCTGTAAAGCATATCAGCAAGATGCAATAGATCAATAAACCGCTTTATAAACAGTGCGGCTGGTAAATTTTGTGCGTTATCGAAAAATAGATAGCGATTTTTGAAAAATGAATAGCGTCTAGCTAAAAGATAATCGACGGCCTGCTATTAAATGATTGTCGTTTTCGAAATTTTACTTTATCCGTTGATTAATATGGCCCTATTGTGACTTTTCTAAATGTAAACAGTTGTCTATTTGCACCTTCTCTTTCTTAAGCGTTGTATTTAACCTGTGGTTAGTCGTAGTTGCGTATCTATTGGGGCTATGGCAATTAGCACAATTGTATTCGTTAATTTTCTGTAGTCGTAATCCTTTCTGAAACTTGCAAAAATACTACAACTGACAATACATAATACTATGATGTATACCATTAATTGAGCCTTCCTTACGTTTAAGCCTTTGTCTATTTACTGTATTGATATTCTATCATTGAGATTACTTTATCAAATAAGTCTATTGAGTTGATATCCTTAAAACAACAACAGAAATGCAAAAAAGCTCAGCAAAGTCAAGTCAGTTCACAGCACAAACATCCCATAATATCAGTAAACATGTATCTGGTATCTTAAATTTAATATCATAAATGGAGGCAGTAGCTATTCCAGAAAAAAAAACTATCGTTGTAGGTATAGCTCGATTTCATTTTTCTTTTTTACTTCTTTTCTTTTGTCTGTCTTTCTTTGGCTACTACAGGGTATTGAGACAAGCTTCTTCCTTCATAGCTTTCAAAAAAGAGTTTACATGAAAGGGAACAATAAACAAACAGCCACTTTCCCACAACAAAAGGAGCCGCCCAGAAACACAGCGGAAGGTAAGATATATATACAAATGATTGACTTTTATTATATCTAATACTGACTACAAAAATCATGGTATTATAGACAAATATGAGAATGCGACAGAAGCGAACTCTGATGATGATTTTCAGCCAAACATAACAATAAAAAGGAAAAGTATATATAAGCACAATAGATCATCTAGATAATAGTCGTCTCAATATGAAAACAATATAGATAGGGAACCTACGCCTGTAAATAGTTCTCAAAAACGAATGAAGAAAGGCAAAGAAAAGTCTAGTAGCTCTACTTCTACTGCTATTGTCGAATCTAAACCTAGTGATGATGCTCCTCTTGCAAAGTCTACTGTTGCTACTACAAAGTAAAACACCATTAGTGACTCTAGTAATTCATCCGCAAACTATAAGTTGTTGACTTCAAAACACAAAGAATCCTATTGTAGAAGTGCAAAATATACACCAATCGCTCTAGTGAATGCTCAACAGATAGCACTGTATGAATGCACAAAGATTCAAACCGCATATCTTAACAACATCAAGGCTCATTTTGGGAGTAGACTAAGGGCTATTCTAAATAAGCTTTGCAAGCCCAAGGAACTGGCTGCCGACCTGCGTAAAGATTTGAAACAGAAAAATGTAGACAAAAGAGCCGTAAACAAAGCTTTGAGAGAGGGAGTGTACGGTCCTTGCAACCAGGTAAAGCGTGCTATTGAAAAGAAAGAGATTCCAGATGCTACCATCTTGGACACTTCTGCAAGAAAAAAAGTCAAAGCTATACTGCAGTCATGCCCAAACAACTACAAGCTCAAAAAGGATTCCACCTTTTATGACATAAAATCTAATCCTGAATGCCACTACAAGGCTTTTATGAAAATATCTGAACTTTTCGACTCAGAGGGGTTGCGCCAATTTTCTTGCTTTCCCGTGCGAACCATATCCATTCCTTGCTATATGACTTTAGATTTCAAGAGTATTCACTATAATGTCTTAAAGAATAAGACAGCGCTAAAAATGGACAACAAATTTCAAACTTGGGGCTCTGTAGTAAATACAAATAACAAGGCTTTCAAAGACTAAGGAATGAACATATCGCTGTGCTTTCAAGGTACTATCGAAACCGATGGTGTCGACGCATCTATAATCAAGCAAAACACTACTATAAATAGAAAAATGGCACAACCTAAGACAAAGTATAAGGAGTCTGAAGATGTCGCAAGATATATGGAAAGCCTGGCCCAGGAAGAGCTGAATGAAACCAAGAGTAAGTGTGTCTTGATGGATTCTGAAAGGCGAGATCTACTCTATTGTATGAAGGAGACGAGAACCGCGCAAAATAAGCAAGTCATGGTTTACACAAAGATGACAAGAACAAAGGTTCCAAGGCATTATAGAATTCTACAAAATAAAGCTAAGCCTGCTTTCGCCAAGTCATCAGAAGCAAGGCTCGCAAAGGCCAAGTCATCTTCTGTCAAGATAGAAGAGTACGAAATGTATATCAAGACAAGAGCTTCGGTTGAAAAGGTACTTTGTTCATATTATGGAAATGAAACACTGCAGACAAGGTAAGCTTATTTTTCCTACCATTGATTTGACTTCCATTTGAAAAACAAGGCCGATTTGTACTTTGAACATTTGTTCGTTGCAAGAATCAGGGGGTGTTTCCCTCAGTCCGACGAATCTACTAGTATCGATATGCACGCTACTTATTTGGAACTGATGATTAAGCAGAGACACATATCAGAACGTTTGGATAATGATGACAAGACCAAATTACTTGAGATTGTAGCAAAAATGTCCAAAGAAAACAGTGATCAAGACAGTTTAAAGCAGCAGGCAGGCGAAAAATTGGAAAAGCTACAAGTCTTTCCGTTTCGTAAAATGAAGTTCTCCTCCAAGCTATATTATGATCAAGATGACCTTATGTTGATGAAGAAGCTCAAACAAAAATTTGGTTCTAATGCTATTCTTGTTCTTGGTAATTGATCTGCTCCTAACGCCAAATATCAAGAGCCAACAAGAAACAAGGGCTTGATCCAAATGCTAAAAAAAAATGGTTTTGAAGTTTTCTTAATTGATGAATTCAGAACATCGCCTTTCTGTCATTTATGTGAGGGTAGGTTGGAGAACTTTAAAACAGTACGCAATCCAAGGCCCTACAAGAGAAAGGCTAGGCCTATTGTACTCTGTCATGGATTACAACGGTAAGAATGATGATAATGCCAGACATTATGAGATTTCTAACCACAATAGTTACTGTGATGTTAGATGTACAAACTTTGACTGTTTAGAACAATCAAAGCCAAGATTGTGGAATCGTGACCTTGCAGCCGCAGTGAATATCAAGAAAATTCTAACGAGCTTAAGAGAAAAGGGAACACGCTCTGAATTATTTACTCGCACAAAAACAGAAGAATCCTCCACCAAGGTTATTGCCAGATCGTAGCCAAGTTTTGGTTACAATCGCTTGGTCATTTCATACAGGTATTATCTTTTTAAAGAGACAATAGTCAGTTAACTAGCCATCAATTTGATTTAGTAGGTTTGTGACATTTATTTTTTTGATAATGATCAATTACACTTCGAGCTTTGTGATCTTGGTTGTTGATCCAGAGTAGCCAGCGTGAGATTGTTGCTCGTCATTGAAGAAATACGGCAAAACTGTTCGAATATGGCCTTGGAAGACCAGTTACCGTGCACCACTATGCCGTCCACTGCGATGCCTGCTTGAGCGGCTAGTGTAGCGCCTAAGGCCCTGGCCTTGGGAACCGGAGCATCGTTTGGTTTTCCCACATGTGTCATGATTCGGTGGATGTGCTTGGAGATTCGTTCAGGCCCGATTGGCTGTGAGTGATCAGCTAAAGAGCGGAAGAGGCAATGTATGCTGATTGAAGGGAAGGCTGGGTGAGCCACGTAGCATGTTACTGAAGCAATCCGAGAGACATAAACCGAGTAGACTGTGACAGGGCAAAGAAGGGGATCCGGATGCGGGTGAATGGTGATTGTCTTGGTAATGCGGAGTCCTTGGCGTGTTTCTTTCGGAGCCACGACACACAAGTGCAAGACCTTGTCCTCAGAAATAGAGCACTTGTCCATATCTACTCTTGCCAAGTCAGACGGACGGAGAAATCCAACCATCGCCAAGAGCCAAGCCGTTTTAGCTGCAAGGAGATCGCCTGAGAGATCGTTGGTAGAATCTAAGGAAACAATGTAACTGATAGCAGGAGCAACATCGTACGACCAATGTCGAGGAGGCAGGATAGTTTTAGCCTTGAGTGCTTTAAGGAAGGTCACATAAGTTTCGGAGTGTTTGATAGCTTGCTGATCCTTGGCGGAGAACAGAGCCAGAATTGAATTGCTATAGGTGGCGAGCGTGGAAAGCTTGAGGTCGTGAGTGGTGTGAAGATCTACTAAATAGTTGATGATTTGCTGCGGGAACGGGTCATGATAGTTGAGTTGGCGTGCAGAGCACCACGTAGCGTAGCTTTGTTGCCTAAAGTGGTACCGTCGTCGGGTAGAGGGCGCTGTGGGAGAAATGATGGCTAAAGCGGACGACGACAAAGAGGAATGCTTCAGGCGCTTTGTGATATGTTCCACGCTAGCATTGTCCAACGGGGATTCTTGATGAGATGATGATCGTCTTCGCTTACCAGATCTTCTTGGAGGAGGAGAAGAGGGGTCTGTTGCATCAGACGGAGAGCCAGAGTAAACCAAGGAGCTGACGGTCAGTTGGGTGTGATCAATGTTGCAGGTTGAGGACACTGAGTTAATCTCTGTAATGTGGGCAGGACTAGATTCCATGGGGGGGGGACCAGGTATAGTCGACCGAATAAGGTGATCCAGTTCCGAGAAAAAGCATTGATCCATAGCGCTTGGGGGTGGTAATTCCATGACACAAAGGCCATCGGAATCTGTGCATTCTGTGGAGTTGCGAATAAGTCCAAGTGATGGGGACCCCATAGACGGTCCAGCCAGAGAAATGCCTTCCGGGGCAATGTCCATTCTGTCTGGCGCGCAAGCTGACGAGAAGGAGTGTCAGCGGGGTTGTAGCGGGATGGAACATATAGTGTCGATAATTGTATGGAGTTCCGAAAGCAAAAGCGCCGTATGTTCATTGCCAAAGTGTTCAGGCTGGAGGAGCGGGTACCGCCGAATTTGTTGATATATGCCATGGCAGACGTGTAGTCCATACAAAACTGGATGTGTCCCAAGTGTGAAAGTGGCACCTGTCGTAGGGCTTTGTCCACAACTAGAAGTTCCGTGTAATTGATATGGAAACGGAATTTGTGAGGGGACCAGAGACCAGAGAAGCGACAATTGCCATAAACTATGCCCCAGCCCATGTCTGACGCATCCGTGAACGCTTGAGTGACGGGTGTGTGCTGAATGATATGCCGAGCGTTCCATTGCTGAAGTTGTGAAATCCACCAGGTGAGTTCTTGTTTCATTGCTGGAGTGATAGGACAAGGGTAATTCTGTATTGTTGAAGGTGATGTTGCATATCGTCGGTATCTGTTGAGTTGCTGCAGTAGGTGCCGGGTGCGAAAGCGTGCCTGAATGTTGCCCAGTTGAGTTGCCATCGTCGTCCCAATGAATGCTGCGAGTTGTGTCCATGTCGTCGATTGCTGGTAGAGAAGTTTGTAAGCCATTCGTCGAATCGACCGAATTTTCTTGCCCGGTACGAAGATGGTCATCGATGTCGTGTCGATCGTCATACCCAAGTGAGTAATCTGCTGAGAGGAGGTTAGAATGGATTTTTTGTCGTTGACCAACCACCCCAACTGGACCATCTTCGTATATACCTGTGTTGTCTGAGCCAGTGCTTGCTCCTTGGAGGAAGCCATTATCAGAAAATTGTCGAGATAAGCTGTTAAGCGTATTCCTTTGCGTCTTGCCCATTGCAGCAAAGGTTTGGTTGCCTTGGTGAAGACCCAAAGGGACAGGCTGTGGCCGAACGGGAGGACGCGGTACTGGAACAGTTGTGAGCGCCATCGGAAACAGAGGTACTTGCGAGAGGAAGGGTGTACAGGAGTATGATGGAAGGCGTCCTTTAAGTTGATTGATGTGAGGTAGTCGCCTGGTTGTAACAAGTTGGTGATCGTTTGCAGTGTCTCCATCTTGAAGTGACGCACGGGCAGGTAATAATTGAGTTGTCGCAGGTTGAGAACGGGACGAAGGCCCCCATCTTTCTTTGGAATCACGAATAAGTTGGAAAGGTAGCCTGGGAAAGGGGAAGCACCGGTTCGATGGTCTGCTTGCTGAGCAGGGAAGATATCTCGCTGTCGATGATTTGGGTTGTCGTTGGAAGTTGAGTGGTTGGTGTTGGCAATGAATGAGTTGCTTGCAGAGGAGGAGGAGAGGAAAAATGAAGTTGGAAGCCGTGATGGAGGACGCTTAGGAGCCATGGGTGTATGGCTGCTGTAAGGACCGTGACCAAGAAGGCACAAAAAGAGACAAACGTCCCCCCACAATGCTTATTTCCTCTTGGTGATGTTGGGCGAGATTGAAAACTCCGCTGTTGTTGCACAGATTTTGACTGAATAATAGAAGTGTTGTCAGTAGTGGTGTTAGATGCTGTAGTGTAACCACTAGAAGTCGGGCTGCTAAGGGATATATTAGATGCAGCTGTTAAAGATGATTGGGGCGAGATGACGCGATTAGGTCGAGGCTGGAGCGTCTACGTGTAGAGGCTTGTACTGCTTGAGCCAGTTTGATGTGGTCCACCATATCTTTGGGGTCCAAAAGATAGTTCTGAGGCTCGTCGGAAGGAGGGTCACAAGAAGCAGAAATACCCCGGAACATGTTAGAAGCACGTTGCTTGGTGATGTGCGACGCCAAATTGGACAGAAGCTCGTGAATAACCTTGACAAACTCCAAAGATCGTTGACGAGTAGTGTCCAGATCCCACTGACTGTAAACCAATTGATAGGCGAACCAGTCAATAGGTCGAGTAAGACCAGAGAGACGATACTGGATATCATGCAATTGAATGTCGAAGCGACGAGCGGGACCTGACAGGTTAACCTTATTGAGTTCAGGTGGATCGTAGGAACGAATGGTGTTCTTAGGGCATTCAAATAGGAAACGCCGGCGCTCAGTATCTGAAAGAGGACGACGAAAGAAATCTTCCTCAATGAAGGGGCAGTGTTCCAAAAGAGCTGAAGAAGGAGTGAAATCAGCCCCGGGAGACCGAACGACCA